AGGGCGTGCATTGTACATGGCCTAAGAACCTAGGTTGTGGCAGTGATTTTCTCTGTTACCATTGAGCGGGTTAGCGGGTTAGTTAATGTAGTTTTTAAGGCAGGAACCTTCTTAAATCCTTAAATTTATTTCAAAATAACATATGACTTTTTAAAAAAAAAATAAGATAGGTAAATTTTTTAATTTTAATAATGATATAAATAAGTCATTTTCATAAATGAATTAAGTTGTATTTCATGTTTAATATTACTATGAAAAAATAAATACCCATGGATGAGATAAATTTATTTATATCATTAATAAAATTAAAAAATTTATCTATCTTATTTTTAATTTAATATCTTAAATTTTATTTTAAAATAAATTTAAGTACTTAATAAGGTTTTTTTTTGCCTAGTTCCAATTCTAAAATGAATTTAGCGATCGTCGTTGATGAACTGACGCTTCGGGAAAAACGACACTTTTTTTTTTTTTGCCTAGTTCCAATTCTAAAATGAATTTAGCGATCATCGTTGATAAACGGACGCTTCGGGAAAAACGACAACTTTTTTTTTTTTGGGTAGAGAGAAACGACACTTCATATTACCGTTTCCCATCGTGACATTGGCGCCTTCCCCAAAGAAAGGGAAAGGGAGAGAATAATAGCTAACCCCTGAACTTATTTCAACTTTCCAATGAAACCATATACTTTTTTGTGGATTAATTAAACCCCTATTCATACCATCTAACAAGTTAATTACGACCATATATCAAAGCTAAGGACTAACATAATAGATATTTTTTTCTTGTTTTCAAGAAAAGATAAAAACCTATTGACTCACACTTAACACTCACCATCTATGATAGAAGGTAGTTTACCAACTGCTCTAACTATTATGTTAAGCTAACATAATAGTATTGGAAGGAAACAACCATTTTTATGCAGGTTTCACCAGCTCACTTTCATATGATTTTTCTAAATTTTGGCCTTCATTGCCAACCCCATAACCTATGGATGCTTAATTGGCCCCAAATAAAATTTTATGGATTGAGAAAACAAAATAAATTCAGTGACCAACTTAGAGGTTCCTCAAAAATCCAAAAATATAAAATCCAGTCCTCTATCTTCAATGCGCGACTTCCCTCAGAACTCTCCCCCGACAGGACCTCCACAGCCCTCCATCGCCACCGTCTGCGCCACCGCGACCCCGCCTAGGGTTTTGGTGGTCTCTGCGGCAGAAAGCCGGAACTATCCATCTTTCCAATATTCAGGTTTTCCAGATTCGATACCGCTTTTTACACTCTTGTAAGCTAGGGTTTGTTTCACTGTTTCCTCCTCTTCGATTCACCAATTTGAGATCGTTTTAAACGCAAAACCACTTCCTTTTCGTTTTTCCGGTAGCTCTTGTATTCACTTGCTCGCAATTCCTGACCTGTTTTCTAATGTTTGTGCTACTCTGTTATCTAATGTTTGTGCTACTCTGTTATAGCCTTAGTGTTACTGATTATCAAGTTAATAATGCTTTTATGGAGTTTTAATCAATCATAATTTTCATTTGGTTAATTGTTCTGTCTTGCAGTTTTATTTTTCAATGGCTAAAACTTCGAATTCCGGCGGCAAGAATGGGGTTCGTATCGTGGTAGCTGGCGACCGTGGAACTGGGAAGTCTAGTTTGATTGTGACTGCAGCTGCTGACATTTTCCCAACCAATGTTCCTCCCCTTTTGCCGCCGACACGGCTGCCACAGGATTTCTACCCTGACGGTGTGCCCATTACGATCATGGACACCTCTTCCAAGTATCTCTCCATTCCTATTAGCTGTAAATTATAAGCTAGCTCTTCATTCTGTCTAATTAGATTTTTTTTTTTTTTGGAAAATTAGGCCGAAGGTAGGAAAGCTAGTGTCATCCATAATAGTTATTTTCTCTCTGGAAATTTAACAAGCTTTTAAGTCTGCTAGAACTAGGTTATAGGTGGAGGTGGAAGATTTATCATTTTCAGACATCTGGACCATTTAAAATAGTTTAGTTTTCAGGCGAGTCAAACAATGTAGAAATTAAGTGACTTAGAGCGGTTAGTTTCTCAGTAGCCATCACTTACCATAAGTTGATTCATTGCAAATTTTGTCTGTCAGTAATGTAATATATGATCCAGCGCAATGCTACCAGGTAGGATTGTAAGTTTACAATCATGGCATGTCATTAAATGAGTGGATGCATACAATATTACAGGTGGACCCTAATTGAAGGGAGTCGATCGTATAATGCACATCATAATTGTAAACTTACAATGCCTTATGGCATTGTAACAATATCATTTTCGATAATCTAATGTACTTTTATAAATTTCCATTTTTTTACTTTTGTTTCCACTAGTTAAAGGATGGTTCCCTTGATGTGTTCTTGTGTGTATTGATTACAAATGCACACTCAAGTACATGTAATAGTTCTTTTTGATTTTCTATTCTTTACAATGTGTCAGCCCAGAGGATAGAGGTAAACTAGCTGAGGAGCTGAGGCGTGCTGATGCAGTAGTTCTTACTTATGCTTGTGATAAGCCTGTGTCCCTTCACAGATTGAGTACTTTCTGGTTGCCAGAACTTCGCCAGTTAGAGGTTTCTACCTAGATTTGCCCCCTTTTTTTTAGATTTATTATTAGTTTCATTTGTTTCCATGAAAAAACTATCTGCAGAATCTTAATATGTAAAAAGAATACTGTTAGAAGATGAATGTCTATAATATTTTTTTAATCCTGTTGTTATTTTGTATTGTAAACTTAACCTTAATAATTATTTCTGCCATTTATTTATTTGGAAAAATTTCTTGCAGAAACAATATCATAATGCATATGCCTGAATTTTGCTGAGCAGGTGAAGGTGCCTGTTATAGTAGTAGGTTGTAAACTGGATTTAAGAGATGAGCAGCAGCAGGTTAGCTTAGAACAGGTGATGTCACCAATAATGCAACAGTTCCGGGAGATTGAAACATGTATTGAATGTTCTGCATTTAAGCATATTCAGGTACATCTTCAGCCCTTTTTTCTTTTGTAGGTTGTATTGTAGGATACAAAATGTAATGATGCTGTAAAGTCATATAATCCTCAGACTAGGATGTATGCTGTATTAATTTTGGTAATCCATTCCTACTGCCTAGCTTAAGTCATTTGGTTGGAATAGGATTTTGTGTGCAAGCATATCTGTCTTGTAACATACATATTCTGCTTAAAGAGGGGGCTTTTCCTTTCAAGTTCAACTCTTGCATTGAAAACCTTAAGTTAGTTCATGTGTTTTCGTGTTTCCTCGGTTAATCATTGTTGTTCTTTGATCTAATGACTTAGAGGATCTGACTTTACTCATAAATTTCTTTATAATTTGATTGATAAGATTGATTTCTTATTCATTTATAGTTCCTCTGGCTATTGTTGAATTACATTTAATTTCTTTTTGCCATAGTTACATATAATTTGTTGGAAATTTATTTTTTTACATAACTATGCAGATACCTGAGGTTTTCTACTATGCACAAAAAGCCGTGCTTCATCCAACGGGACCACTGTTTGATCAGGAATCACAAACTCTGAAGCCACGCTGTGTGAGAGCATTGAAGCGCATCTTCATCCTCTGTGATAATGACAGGGATGGTGCTCTTAGTGATGCTGAGTTGAATGATTTCCAGGTTACTCATTTTTTTGTTAATTATTTTTTTTCTCTTTTGTTCCTTTTTTTTCTGAGGGGGCAGGAAGCGGCTGGATAAGCCTGACTGGGTAGTCAGTTTTATAAATTTATATACAGTTGTTTACGTGATATTTTCTGTTTGACATTTACGCTTAGCTTCTGCATTCTGGTGTTTGAAAACAAGCTATTCATTTGGTCTTGAATTATCTATTGTGAGACTCTTGAAGGATCTAATAATTTTTACACAACAGGTCAAATGTTTTAATGCTCCCTTACAACCTTCGGAAATAGTGGTTGTTAAGAGGGTTGTCCAAGAAAATCTGGTTGAAGGGGTCAATGAGCGTGGCCTTACATTGACAGGATTTCTATTTCTTCATGCACTGTTTATAGAAAAAGGACGTCTGGAGACAGCATGGACCGTCTTGAGGAAATTTGGATATAATAATGATATTGAGCTTTTAGATGAGCTAATTCCATATTCTTCACTTAAGCGAGCTCCTGATCAGGTAATGGCTGATGGAAGTAAAAGGTAATTCTTGTATCAAGAATATCTTGAAAAAAATTATTGAGTAGATTTATCAGACTAAGTCTGCAAACCAGAGGAGCCAGGCTTCTTCCAAATATTTAGACCAGGATGAACCAGGCCACTGGAATACAATCCATTCTTGGGTCTGATTATAGATGGTCAACCATCATGCATGATGGTATGATACTGTCTTAAAAAGGCATCACTTTTTCTGTTTGTCATGTGTATGCTATACTTACTCATTCTCTAGATTTTCCTCTGTAAATTGGTGCACATTCAGTATTTCCTAACTTGCTGGTTGTTTTGGTTGTCAACTGTGTAGAGTGTGGAGCTGACAAATGATGCTATCGAATTCTTGAAGGGACTTTATGAATTGTTTGACGCTGATTGTGTATGTATTGTTTTTCTCTTATCATAAGTTTTCAATCTATTCCCATGGCCTTTAGTACTATAATCTAGTTTATAAATATCTGATTAGCTATCTGATTGTGCAACTACTCCAGTACTGAGAATTGTGGTTTTCTCATGCTAGGATAATAATCTTCGACCTCAAGAAGTTGAGGACTTCTTTTCTACTGCACCGGAAAGGTATTACAAATTCCATGGAATGAGTACAAGTTTAACTACTATTGGAAAATGTGTTTGGCTGAGATTTTTATCTTTGGGTCATCCTATTCAATGCAATGCTTGACATTTTCTGTTTACCTTCAGTCCTTGGAATGATGCTCCATATAAGGATGCTGCAGAAAAAACTGCACTTGGAGGGATATCACTTGATGCATTTTTGTCAGAGGTATTCAAAGTCTTTACTCTCTGTTCTCTTTCTCATCTCTCCTTTCTCTTTCTCTCTATCATGCACTTAATTATGTTTGTGGACCAGCTCAATTGATTAGCAAACTTAGTTGGAAAAAGTGTTTATATGCATCTGCATGTTAAATTTCTCCTGTTAAAAAATATGCTACTTTTTCTTTTGTTAAGTTTTGCATTTCAACCATTCATGCAATCAGTTAAACATATTTCTTTTCCAATTTAAATGTCTCAGACCTGCATGCCACTAAATGGTTCTGCATGTGTATCCAAATGCACATTCAGCGGCATGCATGTGGCTTGGCTATGCTGTCAAGTATCTGAGTAGTATTTATTCTCTAGCAACGTTTATATTCATTTTTAACTGATATTTCAAACTGCAGTGGGCCCTTATGACACTTGTTGACCCAGCTCGTGCTGTGAAGAACTTGATATATGTTGGGTATCCTGGTGATCCTGCTTCTGCCATCTGTGTTACTAGGAGGAGACATCTAGACCGCAAGAAGCAACAATCAGAAAGAAATGTATTCCGTTGCTTTGTTTTTGGACCAAAGAATGCTGGAAAGTCATCATTATTGAATTCTTTTCTACGAAGGTCTATAATCAGAATTCATCTTTGATGATTCCATAAAGATTTGTTCAGCTTAGATCTTGTTCTCTCATTCAGTCCTTCTTAGAAGAAATTTGTTAACTTAATGATTGTAATGCAGGCCATATTCTGATGCTTATACTTTGAGTGCTGATGAGTGTTATGCAGTGAATGTTGTAGAACTACCAGGGGTAAGTCTGCACAGAGGCATGCACAAATACACCTACTTTGTTTCACATGCAAAAACACTATTGTTTATGTGAACATTCTTGCATGACCTTTGTTATTGTTATCGTCAGTTGTTATTAACTTTTTTCTTCTTTTTTTTTTTT